ATGGCCTTCTCGGGTCTGCTCAAGACACTATGTTGGATAATTGGGGGCTGCTGTCAGGCGTAGAGAAATGTATTCATGCAACTAGTGCAATTTTCTGTTGCATGCTTGTTACACGAGGAGCAGAGTGCCGTTGCAGGGCCGTAAGCTAGAATCGAAAGCCTGGCAGCCAGCTTGCATTGAGCCTAGCAGCAACACGAACTTTCCCTGTTGAACGACTGATGGTTGGGTGGATGTACACCTTTCTCTCGCCAGGCTAGGCTCTACGCTGATCTTGCGGAAAAGTGACCGACATGCTTCAGCCATTTGTTGAAGCGGCGGAAAGTTTTTGTGCCTGCCCTTGTCTCTCATGCCCGCAAATCCCTCTGCCCTATGCACCGCAAAGCCTCAAGTTCAAATGTGGATCAACCACCCGCGATGAAAGGGCTTCGCATCAGCGTTTGAGCATATTACTACGCGATCTTTGATCTAAAATCCCAACCCCAAGAACCTGCCACATGTCCCCGGACCTCCATGGCTCGCAGGTGTTGATGTTCCTGCTGGCGCCCTTTCTGGGCTTGACCAAGGCTGGCATTCTTTTCCTATCTCTGGGCCCGGACAGTTAAACACCTTTAGCCAGAACTTCGAAGAGTCAGGGTTTGAAGTCATGACAACATCAGGAGTTTCGAGCGTGGTTGCTGACATGTTCCACTATGTGAGCTCAAAGTGACAGGATGGGATTCCTGGTAAGCGGAAGAAGCTATAGCCGTGTCTACTAGACACCATCTGAATTCTGAATCTCAGCTCGGATCCCTGAGATAAAGTTTGCGCCTAAGTTCTTGAGATGTCGCAACTTCGGGGTGGTAGGTGGAGCACTCCTCATCTTGCACATTACGGTCAAAGCGCGCCATTTCGGCAGTTTCCTGCTCTTGGTCCGTGATCTTCAAGCTTGTAAACGTTACACAAGCCTTGACAACTCGGTTGGTGGCAGCTCCCTCGTGACCTGATACACTGCTCTTTTCATTATTGGCGAGTGATTTTGATCCCTACCGCTTGCCAGTGATCAAGGGCTAAGGGCTAAGCGCAAATGTCTCAAGCTGCAACTCCCTCCGGCGGGCTTCAACCATACAAAGCCCCGACAGTTGATCTTTCCTCACATGCCTTGTAGCCGAACAAAGGAAACTCTCCGAGGACTGCAACTTGCGAGACTCCAACGGCCTTCTTCCCTCGCCTAAGCCCCAAACCCTAAAAGCCCTGAAGCCAGGTAGTTCTCTTTCTGGCAGTCTTCCTCTTCGACTGTGCTTTCCTAGATCGGTTCGCCCTGGGCGCCGGCGGCCAGGCGGGGGGGAGGGGGGGCGTCTTCCCTAGTGATCGCTGTCACAAACCATTACGAATATGGCGACGATGATGGTGATCGCCATGGTGATGATGATTATGGCATTGATTTGTTGTTGATGATGATGAGGGTGAGGATGATGATCATCACCATCACCATGGTTGCCATCATGATGGATCAGCTTACCGCCAGGACGCTGATCGTCGCTCTTCTCATTTGAAGAGTCTAGCTGCTAGCTGCTACTGGCACCTGTTGATGTTGATGGTTCAAGTTGCAGTAGCGGTGCTACTAGCCGTGCGGTTCGTCGCATGGTGGTGATGGTGATGGCGGTATCAGGAGAACGGTTCTGAACCCAACAGCTTGAGCTTATGCTTTCTCAGCTTCGGGGAGACCTCACGCCTCAAGCTCGAAGCCAATCGCTAACCAAGGTGTAACACTGTAGGCCCTGAGTTAAATGAACTGCGTGATCTGCTGCAATGCCGAAGGGACATCCACTGGACAAATCGGTAAAAGCGGATGCGTAAGCCGGGGTTTTCTGCAGCCGCGAAAGCCGAAATCTAACCCAATCTGTGTGCATGGAGGCCTTCGTTTTGGTTCAGGAGGGCGGCGTCTGTGGCGAGCGCCTGGCCGAGACCGCTTGCAGTGTGCATGTTGTGTACTACCGTACTACCATCACCTCTACGACGACGACGACCACCGCTAGCGCTGCTGCAACGACCTTCTACCAGTTGCTACTGCTACTGCTACTGCTACTGCTACTGCTGCTGCTACTCCTACTCCTACTACTACTACTACTCCTCCTCCTCCTCCTCCTGCTCCTCCTGCTGCTGCTGCTGCTACTGCCTCTACTACTACTGCTTCTACTACTACTACTACTACTACTACTACTGCTTCTATTTCTGATTCTACGATGACTACGACTTGCACCAGTAGCTCCACACAGCTATACTAATAGTAGTTCAGTCAGTTGCCATGAACTGCACTAAGAGAAGCTAGATGAAGAGTAAAGGCCGTAGCAGTTTTGCGCACACATTTTGCCATCGCTTTGAGTGGTGATCTTGACAAACCCCAGCTTCCGCTGTGCTACATGTACGGTGGCCACAGTAGCTTCTCTCGCCGTAGCTTCTCTCAGGGACCACGCTGTTAAGCAGCTCGGTCGATAGTTCCTCGGCTCCAGGAGAAGCTGCACGAACGCGCGAATTGCACCTGGAGATCCCGACCGCATAGAGACACAAACTAAGTGCGAATTGCGCGCACATGAAGACAGAGATTCCCACACTCTGTGACCCTGCAAGCCCAGAGCCCGCAAGTCGTGGAATCCGAGACACGAACACCGCATCTCAACGATTCTAATTACCATGTACATAAATACGAATCCAGTGTTAACACTATCATTTCTATCATAGTCTCCCACACAAGGGTTTCAGCGTGCGACAGCAGCAAAAAACATGCCGTGAAACTTCCATACAACTAGATTTATCAACGGCTCTGTTTGTTCCCAGTCACAGTAATTCATTGCCATGAAAAGCTTGTGCTGATGGCACTGTCGTCGTCCAGCTACCGTCTCGGCGACGCGAGGCCCTTGCCCAAGGTCAGTATCAAGAAGCCTGAGCTGAGAATTTGGGTTTGAGGTTTTGTGGTGCTCTGTGGTCTAGTGTTACCGGTTTGGGCACTGACGTTTCGGCACGGCTTGATGGTTCTTCGATCTGCACTCAAAGCTGCACTCTTACTTTCAAGTGTCCCCTTGTTCTATGATATTCAACATCGTCAGCAGATCATCACTGCCAGTGGTGTCCCTCGCCAATCTCAATCCCCCAAGCCGAGACCTGTCAAGCTCCAGACACCGTCGGGAAGATACGGTTTAGGGTTTTGGGCATGCTGCTCCCAAATGGGGCAAGTGTCTAAGCGCCAAACCCACCCTGAAGCTCAAAACCTTGCATGTGCATCTTCTCAGCCCTACACCCTCAATTCCGTGACCGGCCAGGATTCCGTTGACAAGACAAGCTCCACGCGGGCGATGGGTCGTGCGTCGAGCGCAGCCCGCAGAATGTGAGGTAGACAATCGAATGGGGCCCAGTCAGAGTTCAGAGTTCTGGGGTTTAACGTTTCGGATGGGCACAGCAAGCACAGAGTTTTGAGAACTAATTACACACTCCGGTCGAAATCGCGAGAATTTACCATTCATACCAGTATAGTGGTAATAGCAATAACAACAGTAGTAATCGTAGCGATCCTACTTGTAATCATTTATGACATTTTCATGCTAGTAGCAAGAATAGAAATCGTGATTTTAGTATAAAGGATAACCTATTAACAGTACTACCAACAAACATCAATCATAATCATCTTCATCACCATCATCGTCACCATCACCATACTCCTCCTCCTCCTCCTCATCATCATCATCATGATCAAGAGCAATAACAACAAGGGGAGCAACCACCATGTCGCCGTCATCTTCTTCTTCACCATCATCATCAACGTCGTCATCTGTGAGCGAAAACCGTCTTGCGCCATTTTGGAGAGACATGCGGAACACGCATCCAAGTTGAGAGCCCAGGCTCCAGAAGTCCGGCGGGTTTGGTGCCGCTTAGTTTCGGGGCAAAAGCTTCAAGGTCCGAAAAGAGGCAGAATCAAGCCAGCGGGCTGTTTTGTGGAAGCAACCACGGAGTCAAGCTTGTGCTTGTGTATGCATCTCGGTGTATAGTGTATACATGGCCACTTGTCTTGTTTTCGCTATCTCTGTGCGAAACAACTCCAATCCGAAGCTAGGTCTCCCGCCTTAATCCTGACAAAGCTGAAAGAAGCTCTTACACAAGCCAAATGCGGCATTCCGGGTCTGACTAGGGTGTAGGGTTTACTGCAGATTACACTCCTCGTGGTGTTTAAGTTTGGGGTCTTGGGCGACGGTTGAGAAGCCTAGGGGTGCCGCCGCTCAGCCAGGATAAGGTTCAAGAATCAGGGCCCTGAACCCTAAACCCTAAAGCTACTGTCGTCAAATCACATCCCCAATTGTTTGATTCCTCGAAGTTGAGGCTTGTTGGTTCCAGGGCCTGGGGTTCAAAACTCGGGGATCCACAACGCTAGACCGAAACCCCAGACCCCTAAAACCTAAACCCTAAACCTCAAGGTTTCCAGCGCTGTCTGCAACTCAGGCTGGCGAACTCGAGCCAGGACGACATCGCCAGAGCCCCCACGTGGAAAGACACCCTCAAGGCTGATCTTATGGGATTTAGAATGGTTTAGAGTTCCTTTACGAGTTCTAGAAGGGATCAATAGGGGTTAAGGGTTCAGCGATTGGGGTGTAGGGTTGAGGGTTTACGCTTAGGGTTTCCGGGTTCAGGGCTTGGGTTTTAGAGTTCAGGGTCTTGGGGGTGCTCGTAGTTCTGAGAAGGAAAGCCCCATTTTAGTTTTCAGTTCTAAACCCGAAATTCTGAAACTCCAAGGCCTTTGGCCCAAACGATTCTGGTGAATGAGGGGCCCTTTGGGCTTCGGGGCTTTGCAGCCTCCACCTTACCCTGCCGAAACCTGCTCGTTGGTAGGGTCCCTATAAATTCTATATTAGCTGTCAGTCTGAGGCAGTTAATATAATATGGTATAAAGGTTCAGGGAATATCGGGTTTGTTTTTTTTTTGGATTCAGGGTGTGGGGCCAGGGTTTACGATTCAGGGTTTAGGATATATCGGGT